GTGTTAACGAGCAGTTGGACAGGTGTACCTAATAAAGTGGCCGGTGAGTGTATATACAAGATCTCTCCAATGGAAGGTTTAAAAGTGACTGTGGAGAACCACAGGCCCGACCTGTAAAGCCCGAAGCCAACATAAGGGAGTCCAGCGCCAAAGACCCCAAGAGGGACCCCAAGTGCAGAGCCCCCAGAGGCACCCGCAACCGGGAGGGCCGCCCACCCTCCCCCTAAAGAGGACCACAGGAGAGAACAGGGAGAGCCGGAGCAGCGACCACACGCAGTAAACCCCTGGAGCCAGCAGCGACGGGCTCACAGGCCCCGCCAGCACCCACCGTGCCAGAGCAGATACAGGCATGGACACAGAAGCCCCCCCCCTCCCCAGATCAAGGTCCGACAGGGCCAGGGGACCCAAGCCCCACTGGACAGCCACCGGGCCGAGCTGGCGCATGCCCAAGCACCCAGCCCCAGACATTGAGAGCCACCAGCATGCCGGCAGGCATAGGCACAACCCACCAGAGGGCAGCGCAGCAGGGGAAGCAGTGGGCCCTAAAATGAACCCGAAGAAAGGGCCGCCCAAGTCCCAGTCTGACAAAAATACAAGCATACATAAACACACTCACACAGTCCCACCCTCATCTTCTCACCCACTCATTCAAAGACACACAAGATGGACACCAAAATCCACTCACACTCCCCATACATACTCTATACCCCCCAGGTCCAGGATATGCACCCACCCCCTGCAGAGGGCAGCTCACACCTGAACCCAGGAGGTAGACCCCTTCAGTCTGGGGTGGAGAAGAGCAGACAGCCAAGTCCCAGCCCGGGCCGCACCAGTCCGACCAACCGGCCCCCCGCCCCATCAAAGCCACGCCCCGAACCACCCCCACACCCTACCAACAGCCAGGTGCCCACCCCTAACCGACCACCCCCCAGACTACTCCAGCCAGCAGACTACGCCAGCAGCCACTCCAGCTACCGGGTCAACCACAGRAAGCAGGAGTCAGACTCTGGGAGCCCGAACAGCCCCAGGGAAGCCAAAGCGCCGGCCCCGCCTCCGGAAACCCTCCAAGCCCCATGTCCGCCCACAGCCCAGGCCCCACCAGACGGTCAGCCACCCCCCAGGACCCCATCCCCAGATGGCCAARGGGGGAGTGAAAAAGACCCCGACACACACACCCCCACCCTCAGATGTACTGTTGATGCGTGATGTTCTACTGTATAATTCAATCAAAACGGGGAAGAAGACAGGGCAGAGGCCAGCACTATGCCAGTTTCCCCTCCACCGCAACTCTAACCCTAACCCTAAATGTCTAAAAGCAAACAATGTGAGTGGGCACAGGCATCAGTGGCGAGACTGTCCCATCCCGCCCCTTACATGCAGAAGTGCCCACTCCCAAGTTCCTATGTGTAAATGTTATGAGTTTATGAGGTTATGAGTAAATGTCTAAGGTGTACAGTAAAATTGGAGCCCAGGTGGCCACAGCAAACAGACGTAAAATTGTTGCCGCTGTAACACACCTGTGCCCCAAAAACCCTATGTGAGTGCAGTTGAAAAATGAAGAGGGTGGAGGTTTGTGGTGGGGGATGGGGAGGAAAAAACTGAGGGAGCAAGAATGCTCCCACAGGGGGCCAGCTCCCCCACTGACCCCAGTAGGCTCCCCCCCTCCCCGAGACCCACCCAGGGACTGAGGCCCCCAAGACCTCCTCCTCCGGACAAGACCGCCAGGCCCGGAAGATGCCAGATCACGGACAGACAGAGCCCGGAGGACTGCCAGAAACCGGGACCAACAGACCCCGCATCCCAGAGCTGCACAGACCCCCAAGACCCGACCCCCAGCCCCACAGCCAACCGGCCCAAAGAAGCTACCGAACCCCAGCAAGAATGATCTAGCCGAGAGCGCACACCCAGCCGCATATTTCCACACATTTGTCTCTGTGTGGAGCYTTCCTTGGTCTTCACAGTGTCTCATTTGGAGGTGGCCCTGATTTCTGCTTAGAGATGTTGAACCGGTGTTCACTCAGAGCAGGTGCAAACTTCTAAAGGTGGTGTACAGACCAAACGTTTGGACACACCTTCTCGTTCAAAGAGTTTTCTTTATTTTCATGACTATGTAAATTGTAGGTTCACACTGAAGGCATCAAAACTATGAATTAACACATGTGAAATTATACACTTAACAAAAAAGTGTGAAACACCAGAAAAGTCTTATATTCTAGGTTCTTCAAAGTAGCCATCTTTTGCTTTGATTACTGCTTCACACACTCTTGGTATTCTCTTGATGAGCTTCAGGAGGTAGTCACCTGAAATGGTTTTCATCAGTCTTGAAGGTGTTCCCAGAGATGCTTAGAACTTGTTGGCTCTTTTGTCTCCACTCTGTGGTCCAGCTCACCCCAAACCATCTGGATTGGGTTCAGGTCTGGTGACTGTGGAGGCCAGGTCATTTGGTGCAGCACCCCATCACTCTCCTGCTTGGTCAAATAGGCCTTTCACAGCCTGGAGGTGTGTTTGGGGTCATTGTCCTGTTGAAAAATAAATGATGGTCCAACTAAACACAAACCAGATGGAATAGCATGCTGCTGCAAGATGCTGTGGTAGCCATGCTGGTTCAGTATGTCTTCAGTTTTGAATAAATCTCCAACAGTGTCACCAGCAAAGTACCCCCACACCATCACACCTCCTCCTCCATGCTTCACGGTGGGAACCAGGCATGTAGAGTCCATCCGTTCACCTTTTCTGTGTCGCACAACGACACGGTGGTTGGAACCAAAGKTCTTAAATGTGGACTCATCAGACCAAAGCACAGATTTCCACTGGTCTAATGTCCATTCCTTGTGTTCTTTAGTCCAAACAAYTCTCTTCTGCTTGTTGRCTGTCCTTAGCAGTGGTTTCCTAGCAGCTATTTTACCATGAAGGCCTGATTCACACAGTCTCCTCTGAACAGTTGTTCTAGAGGTCTGCTGCTAGAACTCTGTGTGGCATTGACCTGTTCTCTAATCTGAGCTGCTGTTAACCTGCCATTTCTGACGACCTGTTCTCTAATCTGAGCTGCTGTTAACCTGCCATTTCTGATGACCTGTTCTCTAATCTGAGCTGCTGTTAACCTGCCATTTCTGATGACCTGTTCTCTAATCTGAGCTGCTGTTAATCTGCCATTTCTGAGGCTGGTGACTCAGATGAACTTATCGTCCACAGCCGAGGTGACTCTGGTCTTCCTMTCCTGGGGCGGTCCTCATGTGAGCCAGTTTCTTTGTAGCGCTTGATGGTTTTTGCGACTGCACTTAGGGAAACTTTCAAAGTTTTCCCAATTTTTCAGACTGACTGACCTTCATTGATGGCCACTCGTTTTTCTTTACTTTGCTGCTTTTTTCTTGCCATAATACAAATTCTAACAGTCTATTCAGTAGGACCATCAGCTGTGTACTCTATCCACCTTCTGCACAACACAACTGTTGGTCCCAACCCCATTTATAAGGCAAGAAATCCCACTTATTAAACCTGACAGGACACACCTGTGAAGTGAAAACCATTTCAGGTGACTACCTCTTGAAGCTCATCAACAAAATGCCAAGAGTYTGTGAAGCAGTAATCAAAGCAAAAGGTGGCTTCTTTGAAGAACCTAGAATATGACATATTTTCAGTTGTTTCACACATTTTTGTTAAGTATATAATTCCACATGTGTTAATTCAGTTTTGATGCCTTCAGTGTGAATCTACAATTTTCGTAGTCATGAAAATAAAGAAAACTCTTTGAATGAGGTGTCCAAACTTTTGGTCTGTACTGAATATGTACTAAAACCTTTTAGTTTATATTCCAAAAATTACTTATAAAACCTATTCCCATGTAATTCATAATCACTTTGTTCTATTTAAAATATTAGCTGAAACATCATTAATTTTAGTCTGTTTTGAATTGAAAAATAATTTAAATCCGAAGTTGTTAGACCATAAAAAAGCTGGGAAGAATGTATGCATTACAAAAACACTGTTTTTGCAGTGGACTTATCAAATGAGTCACATTATGACACAAGTGGTTGAATTCACATAGACATGCGTGTCTAAATACCTGACGTTAACGCCTGTACAGAACTGCCACCATGCTGGTTTCATGTAAGGTTTTTATTTATTTATTTATTTTGTTATTGGTGCATAATCTGCTGAAGTCGTGATGGCAATTCTTCCAGTGACACGATCCTCTGCTCCTGAGGAACCTCAGCCTCTTTGTACTTGTTGTGTCGGTCTAAAAGGATCCCGTGAATGCCTGCGGACCCTGACGCGAGGTAATCATTCACAAAGTGGTCCCCGACGTGAGCCACGTTGTCAGCGGAGGTGCCACATCTCTGCAGAGCCTGAACAAAGATGTCCGGACTGGGCTTCGCGACGCCGGCCTCTTCTGAAGAGATCACAAAGCTGAAGTACGACAGCAGTCCGCAGCTCCGCAAAACCTCTTCAAGGCGGTCGTCAAAGTTTGAGACCACACCCAGCTTCAGTCCAAGAGACGAACATCTCTCCAGGGCCGGCTTTGCATCCGGATAGATCTGAGATGCAAGAACGTTACACAGATTAGGAGGATGTTTTCTACAGCTGTAAACAGTGTCAGATGTTGCTTACCTTCCAGTTTGTTGCATTTCTGAAGTTCCAATAAGCATTGTTAGCCACAGTATTTAACACCATTGGATCCTGGACCCTGCACTGGGACAGCGTGTCTTTCACCACTTTCATCCACCACGTTTGGCCAGTCAGACCCTGAGATTTGCCATAGTTGGGATACCTGCAGGAATAATCTCGATACACACGCTCGAAAGCAGCATCAACCTCCGCGTGACAGAGACTCAGGCCCAGTTTCTCAGCCTCCTTGCAGTATTGCTTCCCTGCAGACCCAAGCACCTCCATCAAGGTGTCTTTCACGTCCCACAACACCCAGCGCAGAGGACCTTTGGCAAGCATTACAGCTGCAAAAATGAAACAGAAAAAGACACAATAATATAAAACTAAAGAAAAGTGGATAACTGTTTTAAAAATTGTCTTAGACAAATGAAACAGAATATGCAAACATTGTAAAAGTACAGTAGAAGATGACTTGATGACTAATCTGATTTCTAAAATTAATTGTATACAAAAACAAACCTTAAATGTAGTTTAGTTTTTATATTATGATTAAACGTTGATTAAAAGTAATTATAAAGTACAAAAAATAATTAAAAGGAAAAAAGCAATGACAAATTTACTTGAGTAATCAAGTGGAAGACGTTTCATGTTAATAGTAGTGCAAAACCTCTAAATTTACAAGTGACCACAGAGGAAGAGATGTTTGTGCGCATGCGCCTCAGAAAGCTGTACAAGCGTGGAAAAATAACGCAGCAGCCCGTAGAAAACTGCTGAAACCTTCGTCTGCTACAAAGCTGCAGCTTCGTTTCTTTCACTCGCCACAGTTGATCACTTAAACGTCCAACATGTCAATGCTAACAGCAGCTCTAGTTATATTACGTGTCTTAGAGGTGTTTACGTTGTCCTGGTCTCTGAATGAACCGACGAAAATAGACATGAACTTATAAACTTCCGGGTTAGGACAGGACATCTATTTATTTTCTTTTTACGGTAGTAGGCGACACTGACCGAAAAGAGTAACGTTACCGATATTAAGTCCTCACGACTGTCGAAAAGTCAGCAATTTTAAAATAAAGGTTACGCAGGTTAGTTGTCTCTTCTTCATCTTCTCCCTTTCTGCAGGAGCTTCGGGCTTTTATTGCCATCTGTTGGAAAGCTCAGCAGCTGGCGTCGACTATTTTTATGAAAACGAAAAGTGACTTATTTTATTACATGTAATAATGTGTAAATTTCCACATCTGACAGCTATGAAACTTATTTTTAAAGGCTTCGATGTCCGCTAAATTCACCCATATTCATTTTAAAATTGTCATCGTTTCCCATTCATCCACTCCACCAGGTGGCAGTATGAAGTGAACCCAGAACGCCACATTGCGCATGCGCAAATGTTCACGCGTGGATCCAGGAACTGTCAGCATGACTTTGAATTAAGGAATAGCAAACGATATAGTTTATTTTCATAAAGCAAGCAATCAATAACAGTTTTTTTGGTAGTACAATGGCCACTCCAGCTATTCGGATGTTRCGGAGGTTAGAGGGCCTCTTTTGCGTCTACAAACCCGCCGGTGTCCACTGGTCGCTCGTGCGGGACACCATCGAGACTAATCTGCTGAAAGGTAAGAGATCTCATGGTGGTTTTACGAACCGTGGCCTCTTTTACGAATCAATCAAAACAGTCAGAAACACCAGCACGTGTGTTGTTCTCCAGGTGTAAACGCGAAACCTGCGCCTGTTCCTCGCCATGTCCGCTTCCTGGAGAGCCCGAGCGATGAACCCGGAGGAGTCCCGCTGCTGTCTGCAGCCTCAGTACCTGCTCTGTCTCAGCATCCTTTAGGTAAGCACATGGAGCTGGGTAATAATGSTTTGACTGAATGTTTGTTGTCAAAAAGTTGTTAAAACTGGAATTAAATTCTGTTTTTAATGCTGAAGTATAGTTTGTGATAATTTGATAATAGTTAAACAGACAGACTTTGTTAGATCCAACAAGGAGACAAATTGTTTTAAGTAAAATATAATGGTTGGTTAAAATTGTACATATTTTCCATGTGTGTTAGTAACCGGACCTGAATTTAGGCACATTCGAGTTGGAGTGGGGCATCGCCTGGATATTTCGTCTTCTGGTGTTTTCGGTACAAGTTCACACTTCATCTTTGAGTGAAAGTGTTTCAATTATTCAAGAAAATATTCAGAAAGTATTCCCTCATTTCTGCTCTGTAGTTATTGGTGTTGGGAATGGKAACAGAGCCCTGAATGACCTCTACTACACCCGGACCACAAGGGTAATTTCTTATTTCTGCAGGTTTTAAACCAGATCAACATGATGGAGTTACCATCCTGTAATAATAACTTTACTGCTATTTTTTGACATTAATTTAAGGATTATACACTGGAATGTGAGTTTGGGATGGCAACACAAGACTTTACTCATAAGGGTCGAATTGTGGAAAGATCTACTTATGGTATTTAACTTTGTTTTCTATTCTTTTTTCAAAGTTTGCTTTTTTTCCCTCCTAAAGTTTTTGTTTGTCTGAAACATAATCCAGATCACATCACGCTGGAAAAACTAGAGAGAGTGATTGCAATGCTGGAGGGAGCCAACCAGAAGGCCTTGAGACTGTACGCTAAATAGTTTTATTATTTCTATACACCAAACAAATGTCTCTGTYTTTTCCTTTGTAATAAAACCTCTTGCAACTACTAGTTAGATTCTCGTGTGTAGATGGGACATGTTTTGATCTCCTAACAGGTCTTCTAACATCGACATGAGCTCACAGGAGGCCTATGAGAAGGCCGTGCAAGGTTTGCTGGGTCCAGATGGGAAATCAAATCCTATTTTGACAGGCTTGCGTTGCATTCACTTCCAGCCCCCCAGTTTCACGTTAGGTAAAACWCAGACACGCACGAGAAGTGTCTCATTTACCATTTTAACAAAACACGCTCATCTGGTGTGACGCTTCTGTTTTCTGCCTTTCCAGAGGTGCAGTGCCTAAAGGAAACCCAGAAATATTTACGTAAAGTTGTGCACGAGATAGGACTGGAGCTGCTCAGCACGGCGGTGTGTAAACACGTGAGACGGACACGGGACGGACTTTTCACCCTGCAGGACGCGCTCACCCGTGACCACTGGACTGCTGCTGATATTATGCAGGCCGTGTACAACTACCACGCCATGAAGAGAAGGAGAAAACACTCCCAGTTACTGATCGACAAACCAACGTTAGAAACATCTGTAGAAAAACTGACTGCCACACAACAAAGCCAAACAAATGAAGACGTATCAGGAGGCGGAGTTTAGTGACGGATTAGGGGTAAAACAATAATGATGTTCGTCCTGAAAGACACGTGATCAGCATCAATAGAAAATCCATCCGATAGAATGTTGATGATTTCACTGAACTCCTGTCCAGCACTGCAAGGCATTGTGGGGGGTGTAGGCAGAGGGAGGGCTTTAGCTGAGCAAGGTTGCTAAGCTAGCAACAACCTGTTGAGTAACCTGCGCAGCTGCAGTTTCATGTTTRGCCTCGTAACTGCTTAAAAATAAAAACGATGCGGAGTGAAAAGAGAAAAAAAAAAAACAGCTCGAGAGGAAAGATCACGTCACCAGTTTGGCAGAAATAATCAATCTTTATTCTCGTGGGCCTTATTTCAAATGGGTAAAACAAAACAAAACAAAAATAAACTAATTCAATATTGACTGATCTGAAACACTGAGCTCCAGCCCTGATAATAGTCTTTACTGACACGGCAGCTCCACAGTTTTCTTTCCATGAGCACCATCTACTGTAGAGGAAAAAGTGAAACTTATTGCAGTTTGTTATATTTCCTCTGCAAATCGTGTTTAAATGTTTTATTCTTTTTATTGTGCTTACATATATATATTTTTTTCTTCTTTGTTCTTAGGTTTTCTTAGACTTTGTAATGTTTTTTATCATAACTGTTGGAGAGGCCCGCACAAGAATTCCAATGTGTGTAAACTGCTAGTTTATGCACAGATGGCACACAAACATCTATCTCTAAATCGTGTGCTTCAGTCCATTTGAAAGACTTTTTTTACAGCAAGTTTCAAGAAACAACTTTGTAATTTATCACAGTTGATGTCATTTAATGGATTTTACTTTTAAAACGTACTTTATTAAAGTCACTCTATCAGATCTGTAATCATTTGTGACCTCTGTTTATACTCAGTGATTTTCTCTTCAGTTGTTTACAGCTTAAAAAAAAATATTTTGTTTCTTTTCTTGGTGTGGCACCATTGTTTTCATGCTCCTCATACTGTAGAAAGGCTTGTTGTCCCTCAGGGAACACAGTTTTCTTTGTTGGGCTGGAAGAACACAACTCGCTTCAGGACACTGAGTACGCAAGCAAACAAATTGTTTTCCCGGAGGTCTGTTGAGAGTAACAACTAATTTATTGTTCTAGATTATTACACAGTCATGTAATAAAACTTGACACCGAAAAAATTCAAGCCCATTAAAACTTAGACTGTGTCTAATTATAGGGGCATGAAATACTTTAATGTTTGTCTGACAGACGTGGCAGCTGTGCCACCTGCACACAGGATGTGTGCCAGTGTGGATTATTTAAAACAAATGGAAAGCACTTGTGTAAAACAAAAGTTAGGAAACATTTACTTTGTGAAAATAGTTTATTGCTTTAAACCTGAAACATTTTTTTTAGCAGAAAGTGCTTGAGTACTTAACCATCAGATCTCAGATAAATTATTCCAACTTCAAACTAATATATATATATATATATATATATTAATGAAACAAGACAATATGCAGAATCCAATGAAGTGGGTGCTGGATCAAAAACAACATAAGGCAACACAATAAAATATATGTACTGCAAACTAACAGAGCTCCCACTGCAGGTATTTAGCCCAAAATCTCTCACTTGTGGTCGTTTGTTTCTTTTGTCTCCATGTGTCCCTGTGARGGACATGTCCTCTCAGTGTCTGCTGAATATAAGACAGCAGCTCCCCGTGACCATGAGAGGAGAAGGTAAAGAAAAGAATGGATGGATAAAATCTCACCTCAACTGTGCAGTGTGAACTCTTGATGTGCAGATTGTTTTTTTAATCAAAATATCTTATAGACTTAATATATTGTAAATTGTCATTTCCCACAAAAACGTAAGCACACAATGTCAAACACAATAAATGTGAGCTACCCTAAGAGAAAAGAAATGCAGTAAACTTTACCAGCTCTCCTTGTCAATAGAAATATTAAAAGTAGCTTACACATTTTCTAAACCAAAAATCATCTTTATGAAAAGGAAAATTAAAGGTGTCTGAGTCTATATAACTCAGTTAAATGTTGGAAAACAGTTACATTCAGGACATCCACTCCACACTTTGTAGGACGCTGCATTTCGTTTTATTTTACAAACATCTGTTCAGCAACACCTGGATTGGCTTTTGGGCACAGACCTCGGCTCTAAAACAGTGGCTTCCTCTCTTAAGTCAGAGCGTTGATTCAGCATCCTGCAAACAAGGTAAAACCAAAATCATCTAATGTCACAGCATTCATCTTTATATCAGACTGTATTTGTGTGTGTTTGTGTGTGTGTGTGTGGTTATTACCTAGCCACTGTTTCCAAGGCTTCAATTACATTTTGACCTGTGGCAGCGCTACACTCCATGAAGCCAAAGTTGTATTCCTGTGAAGTAAAAAAAAAAAACTGCTCTCTTTATGTCCGATTAAGTAAAATATTGCCAAAAACCAAAGAGGTTTAATGCATCATATTTATACCTTTGCAAGAACGTCCCCCTGTTCAGTTTTAACTTGTCTCGCCGCGTGATCGCTTTTGTTCCCCAGAAGCAGAACTGTCACGTTTTCGGCAGCAGATTCCTGCAACACAGATTTGTTTTGATCAACTGTGCAAACGACAAGTCACGAGTTGTGTGTGATTTGTTTTTTCTTTAAAGCGCTCTTGAACGCACCCCCTGCAGCTGAGCCACACCTAAAGCTTTATTTGAAACACCTGCATGTACTTAAGAGTAAACACGTGAAAAAAAAACAGGGTGGTTCACAGAAGACATTAAACGGCTTTGGGCTGAGAAAATCACAAGCGAAGAGTTTCAGGCTGCTGAAATTAGCAGCTGGACTCATGACGGCACCTTACCTGGATGCAGTTTGCCCAATAGCTGACTGCAGAAAAACTCTGGGAGGAAGTGATGTCATACATCAGAAGAAACGCCTGTGCTTTGTGGAAAATATGTCTTGTGATGCTGTGAAACCTACGGTTAAAAATATTGTCATAACAATACATTAACTTTGCATAAGCTGTTATCAACACAAGTTGTACACAATTGTATCAAAACAAATGCAGTAAAAAAGACTTTAAAAAAGTCTTGTTCTTTGTTTCTACATAAAGAAAATGAGAAAAATAAATCTACATTTTTGTGTGAAAAGATGCCTGATMGATTAGTTTTGTCCAGCTTAGAGTCAACAAAAGAGCTCTGCCAAACCAGTTCTGAAACATGCTGCATTGTGACTTGGAGGTGAATCATCAATTCTCCCAGAGTGCTAAAAAGGCTTCCACTGAATCTGTATTTACAGGACACTTCTCACACACGTAGCTTTGATAGTGCCCGTTTAAATGTTGAGAGGTAAACACAGAAACACACACGGGGGCAAACCTTCAGGACGAGACAATCTGTCCTCAACCACCAGAGAAACAGAGTTCTCGCTGACAAACCACAGCCATTTCCTAGAAAATATAAACACTCGGCTTACGTGACAGAACTTTGCACCACAAAACACTGTGTACTTATTATATTGATATTTTGTTATACAACTGATGTTATCACCCATAATCAACTACTCTGCCTGCAGCAAACACCAACACTCTTCTGTTTGAAGTTGATTCTTTATCATGCATCTGGTTCTGTTTGAATATTCATTTCAAAAACAAAAATATTGGTCCCCATGAGATTTAAGGCCTTAAACATATCAGAAACAAACCGTCAAGAATCACTGATCGCAATCGTTGCAAAGATGCTTTAATTTGGGATTATTTTACTGTGTAAAGAAAGAGGCTGAATAAATACTTGCCTGTGCTTGGACAGAAAAATGATTGGACAATGGCCATGCCTGTAGCAGACGTGTCTATATAGTGTCCATTCATCCATTTGCTTATCTGTGGTCAAGTAGTGGAAGTAACAAGGTGAGGACGGAAACCCAGAGACCCCTCTCCCCAGCTACTCTCTACAGTTAAGGTGTTCCCAGGAGGTTCTGGGTTCGCCACAAGGTCTCCTAACCATGCGAAATGAGAAGCATCAAAGAGGCGTCCTGATTGAATATCTGGACCACCTCAGCTGACTCAGCAGCTCTATTCTGAGCTCCCCARAGTCTATAAGGCTGAACTCAGTCACCCTACAGAGGAAACTTATTTCAGCCTTTGGGATCTCTCTTTCTTTTGACCACCATCTCAGGTCCATGGGTGGAGTTTGGAATGTAGACCGACCATTAAACCTAGAGCTTTGCCTTTTGGCAGAGCTCCATGATGGTGACAGTCAGGCAGACAAGGGCTCCAGTCGCTCAGTTCACTACAACACATTGTTCCCCATAATTTATTTCTTTTTAAAACAGAAACAATTAGTGTGGCGCTCACCTTTCTTGACCTGCTGTATCCCATAACTGTAGCAGCACAGGTTTTCCATCTATCACCACAGTCCACTTGCAGGAATCCATGCCTGCAAAATCATATTAGAGTGACCTAACTCTGTATACATTTATCAGAACAATCCAAAAGATGACAGTCTTACCAACGGAGGCAGGTATGTCTAAAGCAAACTTTCCACTTAAAGCTCTTTTCATGAAGGAAGATTTTCCCACAGCGCTCTCTCCAACCAGCACCACATTGTAGCTGTTTGATTTGTTGGTACCTGCCGACATGACAAAGAAATCGCTTTCCTGATCACATTTTACCAAGAAAAAAAAACAACAACAACAAAACAACAACAAAAATAGTCTGCAGATGATGTGTAAATATTGTTTTTCTTGTTTTTTTTTTTTACCAAAAGAGAGCTGCCCTTCACCCTCTTGACCCAAGTGGTTTTCATCAGGATACAGTTTTCTGGGAGTCGCTCCACTGTGAAGCAAACATTTTACAGATGTCTGACAAAGGTTATTTGTCTGACAGAATAAAGAAAATGTTGACAATGCTTATTAATTTGTGTTTCCATTTTAAGAGTGTTCCATTGTCTGTCAGAAAATAAATAAACCTGGATTAAAGGAACAGCTGATTAAAATGAACAACAAGAGWCATGCAGGACAAGAATGGCATCCAGAGACTTTATTAGTCCACTAATCCCAAATTTATTCTGTTGCCAGAAACAAATCCAAATAAATCTCTCTTAAATATTGAAATATTTTCACAAAAGCAATCATACCCCATGTAAAACCTTCCTACTTATTTTAATTTATTTTTTATTTTATTAGCTTTGTTGGCAGGGATAGACCAAATTAATGAACATTACTGTAGATCCACCCCAGTGTTTTTTATATGTTATCCCTGAAAAAGTGTCACAAATTGACCTAAAAAATAAACATAAAGTCAGAACTTTACTGGTAAACATTTCAATAAACAAGTCATTAAACAAGTTAACCTCTTTCAGTGTGAAATGGATGAACAAGAAAAAAAAGGTAATCTATTTTTCCTCTAAATGTGTTCAACTGTGGGTTGTTTCAGTTTCATATTACAAGTTGGGTGGAAAGTTGTTTTTTTATTTCATATATGAAGTCATTACAAAGCTGATGCACAGTTAATGGTGCAAACACTGCTGGGAAACAAAGCAGYTGGTGACATCAACCTCAGAGAAAACTAGGTCAAATATAAAAGCAAAACTTTTTACTTTACTGTCTTGTAGACAATCATACTATTTTTTGGAGACGTGTGGTCATATGGGGGCATTGGCTTTCGTGCATCGTGATAACATGGATCATATTTTATTCTGTTTATCCTAAACCTGTTTTTATTTTTGGGCACTTGCTTTTAATTTGCCCTTTGGCCACAAAAAAGTATTTTTGTGGTGACTATAAAGCCAGAGCTGAATATTTATAATAAATCATCCAGTTTCATTAACTGAGCTACAATAGATGTAATTTTGGTGAACTTTGACTTGAAGAAAGAAGAAAGAAAGAAAAGACTGACGTGGCACCAGATACTACAAACGAACAAAACTCGAGGTGAAAAGGGGCAAAAGCAGACGTGGCATGAAGCACACACAATGGCAGACTGACAGCTTTTCAGTCTGCCATTGACACCTGGACTAAATGACAACAGGGAACAGGTGAAAGTGGGCGGGGCAGAAACTGACAGCACAGGAGGACACTGGGGGAAAAAACAAACAAAACTTAAACACAAAGAAAATAAATAACACAAAAATATATCACAACCTAAACATAAAGATCTGAGTTATTTAGCGATATTTAGCAGCTAGTTCACTTTTATACATATTTCCTTCTAACTATAATCTTTCATTTATACAACCCTGGATGCTGCAGTTTTTGTTACATCATCTGTGATGAACTTACCTCAAAGGCTCTTTAGTTTCTGAGATGCTGACGCTAGCTGACTCTTTTTCACCAGTTTCATCCACCTGCTGACAAAAATATGATTATTTGCTACTAGTCATAGTCTTGAACTGACAGCATCAAATCTTCTGCATTTAAGGCCTATAACATATTTGTTTGATCTATTTTTTAAGATCATCATTGTCTGATCTCAAAGTCTGTACGTGTCATGTTTCAGAGAAAAACAGATAGAGGTTTATGTTCTCCTTTCTGTTGTGTGAAACATGTAGTGTTGACCACATGTTCCTCATTTCAATACATTGCATTAGAACTTTGTCACAAACATACAACTAAAGAGCAAGATGTTTATATGTAAATGAAAAGTAGCGTTTAGAGTACACTCACTGTGCCTTTAAACTTAAAAGACTTTCTGACAAAGTGAAATGCTGATAAATAAGGCATCATTTTCTGCTGTTTAGGTATTTTTATGTATCTTAGTTATTAGTCAGCTTAAATACATGTGACCAAAATCTAAAAACAAAGATAAAGATGTCTGACTTTGCGTCTTACCTTGGTTATTTTCTCCACACCAGATGATTTAACAGTTTGCTGTTCAGCAGCCTCGTGTGGACCCTCTTCTGTGGTTCCTCCAGCATCGTCTTCATTCTGTGCACCTATCAGTCCAACCTCACTCTCATTTTGGTCTCTGTTTCTTTGCTGTAAATGTGACTTCCGATTAGATCCAAATTTCTTTCTCCTCCCTCCTGGTGCTGCTTCTGAAACAGAGTCCTCCTGGCTCAGAGAAACTGGACTTTCTTCGGGTGTTTCTTCTGCCACAGGTTTTAGTAAAGCCTTACCAAAGTGACTGATTGCAGCTGTTTCAAACACTTTTTCTTTTCTTTGATCAGAGTCACTCGTTTTGCTCTCTGCCTGTACTTGCAGTTTTTCTTCTATGATTTCTGAGACCTTCTCACTTGTTACATCTCCTCCGGTTGTCTCAGTCTCCTGCTCCTCTGCTTGATCCATGTTTTCTCTTTGGCTTCTCGATCCAAGGCTCCTGCGAGTGGAACCCATTTTTCTTCTCCTGTTGGTTGAACTGAAATCTGGGCTTTCACTTTTGACCTCTACAGTTTGACTGTGAATCCCCTCACTCATGTTCCCTGGTTTTTGTTCTTCTGTCTCTTGGACATGCCTGTGCTTGTCAGAATTGGTAGTTTTGACTTCATCAGCTTCTCGTTGCACTAAATCACCATATGAAGATTGAACTTTTTCACTTTCTACTCCTGTGGTTGAGGGAAGCTCCTCCACAACCTTCATCTTTTCCAGACTCATCCCATCGTCTGCTTTGCTCTCCGTTGTTGTTTCATCTAAGTTGTGAGTCTCTCCTTCTTGTTTTATGCAGACTAGATTCCTGCGAGAAGAGCCAAACTTTTTCTTCTTCTGTTTGGATTTTGCTTCTAAACTTTCACTAAAATCAGAACTAGTTTTTCCTTGTTGTCTGTGACCAAAATCCATTGTTGTAGAGGTTTCACTTTTGAAGGATACGTCCACAGGTGGCTTCTCAGAAGCAGAAATGGACTCTATTTCTTCGTCTGCATAGATAGGTTTTTCTCCCACTACCTCCAGTTCAGGGTCTTGTWCATGCGTTGAGCTTGATTCTGATGGAACACATCCCACAGTTTCTGTCACTTTCTTAGTCTGCTGCAGCTCAACATCTTCTTCCAGTGTCCCAGCTCCTCTGCTTTGGTGCTGAATGGCTTGGTCTTGCTCAGGCACACTCACGCTGCCTGGCTTGGAGTTGGTAATGTCATCATGATGTAGGATACTCTCCTTATCTGAAGTTCCTTTCGAAACAGAGGCTTCCGGTGATTGCATAAATAAACTGTTTTTATCGGTGTCATGTCCTGGAAGCTGACTAAAATCATCAAAGTCATGTGCAAGTTTCACATGTTTCTCTTTGGTGTCTTCACTTGGTTTATTATTAGTATCTTTGTCTGAGCTTGTAAAAATATCTGATGTTGAAACTGTTTTGTTGTTCAGATCTTCATGTGTAAAAAGTGATCTCTCCTCCGGCTCCTTTTCTGCTTTTCTATCCTCATTTAAACTAATTGTTTCAAAATTCTCAACAGATTTTAAGTCTTTAAACTTTCTCGGCATAATTGTTTTTGTTGCAAACATTTGTGTTGCTGCATCATTCTCTGCAGTTTCTACATCTTCCTCTTTATGCTCTTGGTTGGCTTCAGTAAACTTGGCATTTTGTCTTCCTTTAGTCCTTCGGCTTGACCCCATTTTCCTTCTGCTCCCTGCAGCTCTGAGGCCTGAATGAGTTTCATCTTTGTTGCTTTGAAAGTTGTCCTGAGAGTCAGAGTCCAAAGCAACATTTGCACATGGCTGCAATGTTTGCACAGAAGACATGTTCTGTGGAAGTGAGACAAAATCAACGTGATGCATATCTTGCATTTGTCCAGGGTCAGTTTCTTCGTGGTCTTTAATATCCTCAAAAAGGACAGTTTCTGTAGTTTCATATGTCTTGTTACGTCCATCTTGTTCGTTATTTGTAGGTAGATTATGTGGTGATGAAAATGCTTCTTGCTCAACACTGTGTTTGACTTCACTGTGCTCTTTGTTGCTATTTTTTTCTGTGGTTGTTTCTGGRGTGGCAGAAACATCTGAATCAGTCAAATGCCTAAAGATTTCAGTGTCTTCCTCCTTTTCTTTGCTTTTTGTTGAGTAAAAAATGTTTCTTGACTCTATTTCAGTCTTTTTTACAAGATCATCTGTTTCTTTATCAGCTGTATCACAAACCACATCTTCTGTTTGCTCTTGGTCAACCTCCTGTTCTTGTGCTTTCACAGCTCCATCCTCTGTATGTCGAGATGATTTGGTGGTGTTGACTTTTGGCGATGTTTTCTTAATCTGGTCTTCAAGGTTGAGTTCTTCTCTGCTGAAGCTTTTATCTGTATTTGTCTCTGACAGGGCAGAGCTCACTTCTGTTTCAGGCACAAAAAGTTTTCCTTCATAACCTCTATCCTTTATTGACAGCTCTGTACTTTTGCTGGAAAAGTCCCCATCTGGAATCATTGGCTTGTCAATTACCTTTTCATCTACCTTTGAGGTTGAATGTACCCCAACAGACGCTAACTCAGAAGTCCAATCACAAGCACCAGTGTGCAGACTATCTTCTTTCTGACCTATTGACACTAACGTTAATGTTGTTTCACCAAGTTTGTTGCCACATACTTTCTCTTCATCTTCTTCTATGGGTTTTTTGTATGTTTCCGTTACAGAATCTTTGACAGTTTGTCTTCCTTTGGTTCTACG